CAGACAGTTCTTTGTAAGCCATGCTACCCTGGTCTTCCCTTCCTTATTTGTTCTTCAAGGATTGTTCTATGCCTTTAAGCCTCCTGGGTATCCCATCTTTCCCTTCTCTTCCTGTGAGGCTTTCATTTTCAACATGAACCTTATCCCGATGGCTCTTCTTGTATGAGTTAGGAACCTTGTAGGAAACCTCTACGGGGTAGTTTTGGTCATGAGCTTTGAGTGGATATTCATTGTTGGGAATAGTGGATATGACAGGAGGGCACTTTTGGGAAAAGATAGTTGGAGGACGAGTGATGGAGCTATAGGGTAGTTGGGAAAGTTGTGATAAACGGGTAGATCTGGAGAGTATGAAGGATCATCTGGCATTGTGTCCGGAGTTTGGGTAAGGGCAGCATCTAGGAAGCTAGGTGGTGGCGGGGGTGGTGCCTTCCCAGTCATCCAAGCCTGATACATGTCCGCCATGTGTTGTCTTAACATCTTTACCTCTTCAACCAACCCATTGTCATGTTCAACCAACTGCTTTCGCTCACCGGTATCAACCAACTCAGTTCTGTTGTTGTCTACCATTGCCTTTTGACTTTGTGTTGTAGAGAAGAGTTGCCACTTTAAAAACCACAAACCTTTCTTTGTAAGCGTTAGGGCATCACGTTAGGGCATCTTTACCTCTTCAACCTTTCTGCTATGAATATAACAAAATGAGGCCATCACGTTAGCGTTAGGGCATTTAACAGCAAAAATATCATATTGCGTGCAATGCACCTAGCCACAATTAACGGTTCTAGAATGACTTCGAGGGTCATAAGGTTACTTGGCATCATCCCAATTTGTTCATTTCAACCTCCCTTTTCTTTGTTTTTCTAGCACTTGCTTGATCATTTTCCTTCCTCTTTTTTTTCTAATTATCACTTTTTTCTTTCCTCTCATTTCTCACATCCCATAATTTCCCCCTTTTTTCTTTCTTTTTTTTCTTTTTTTTTCTTTTAATAGTAAAAAAAATAAAGTGATTCGATCGAACCTTATGTAGGTTGCCTACGTATCATGACGCCGCATGAATAAGATCTTTGCGTAGTTCCAGAAGAACGGGAATAAAGTAAACAAACTGACATTTTCCTTTTTTTTTTACCTTAACGACTACTCGGAAGAGAAAAGAGAAATAAAAGCAGAAAATCCCCCTTCTTTTTTTTTTTATTTTCTAGACTTAACGTGCTATGACTTATTCTAAACTCAAGCTTAACGGACATATTTTTTTTGTTTATTTATTCTTTTGAAACAAATACTCTATTAAGGAAATATTCTAGAAGAGAAAAATATTTTTTGATTATTATTTATTTATTTATTTTTAGGAAGTCAATCTAAAGAATAAACCGCATAAAAATGTTTTGAATTTTCATTTGATATCTTGACGCAAGATTTCGAAACAAGCAATATTTTTGAATTTCAATTTTGATTGCCTAAAAGAGAAACTGTGAAAATAAACCAAAGATAAAGTATGTTCTCTTTTTTTTTTCTTCTATGTACAATATTCTAAAGTTCTAATGAAAAACTAAAAAGATTTTTTTTTTCATTTTTCCCTAATTTCCAAAGAAACACCTCAAAAGAAAATCTTTTTGGATTTTGGAATTAACACCTTAAAGAAAGCTTTTAAAGAAGTACTAAAAGAAAATTTTTGGTCATAATATACTTAAAGGAAACATGAAAACAACTCATTTTAAGTCCTAGATATTAATTGCCTAAAGGAAGAACAACCTCAATTTTTTTTTTCCATTTCTAGATTTAGTAATCTAAAGAAAACTTATAACGAAAATATAAAATGCAACATCTCTTTTTTTTTTTTTTTTGGATTTTTNTCTTTATTTTTGGATTTTTGAGTTACATCACAGTTTCTCAAATATAAAGAAGAAAATACAATAACAAAAGACTTGACATTAAAGTACAAAATTAGAAAGTAAAAGACGACATAAAATGAAGAACAGACTCAAAACATAAAAATAAAACAAATCTCCTTAAGCAACTCCTGACAGAGCAATACTGACTAGATGGTCACGGGGTGTCTGTCATGCTCAAACTTCGGTAAATAAATCCACACCTGTATGAGGAAACTTTAAACCAACACTATGTGAGACAATAACACTCCCTACTGGACATATGCAAGACATGATTGAGGCTATTTTTGCAAAATGGCTTATTTGGCCAAAAGGTGGCTAGAAGTGCAAAATTTGGCTAAGACCCCGCAAAGCCAAGAGCCTAAGATTTTCTAGGAAGACCGGACCCTATGTGGGTTACCTACGTATCCCGCCCCAAAAGACGAGAATCAGGTATGCGTAGTTCGGGCAGATTGGATACGGGCGATAATTAAAAAAATAACTAATTTAGAGATAACATATTTATTTTTTGCTTTTTCTTGAAAAATGATGAAACATACAAAATCTTTTTGGATTTTATTTTTCTCTTTTTTTTTTCTGATTTTCGGAAAATGATGAAAAAGTGCAAAATCTTTTTTTTTTTCTTCTGAAATTTCAAGCTCTTTTTTTAACAACATAATTGGGCCAAACTTGCTTTATCTCCACACTTCACTCTCTCTTTTCTTTCCTTTTTTTTCTCTTTTTTTTCATTTTTTATTTGCCCTCAACTATCATTGGTCTGCCAAATGACCCTTTTACCCTGGAATAAATGCAACATGTAGCACATAGGATGCATCAAGATGGTCTGTTATTTTGGGTGCACCTGTCCTAGACGGACCCAACCCCTATGTTGAGTCCCCAAAGTCAAATGCACGTGATGCAAACAAGCATTCCTACTAGGGATCCGGCGTGAGGCTTTGTTATACTAGGTTTAAAACCTAGGTTTATTGTTCTAGACCTGGCTTACCCGAGCGGACAGCTCGAGCCGAAGCGAGGGCAACGTACCTGGAGCACGAAAGTCTACCTCGTCTAGTTACTTGACCTAACCTCGTTCTACTTGGTATGACTTCTAACAGAAAAGTGGGTCACGCGCACGTGTGCACCATAAATTCAGAAAACTCAGAAAGAAGAAGGTTTCGTAACAGTTTATATATACAGTTCAGATAATATCAAAGCGGTAAAAAGCAACATTTAGCACATTAACCCCAAACATGTGAATAAACCAGATAATAAATAAAGCCAAATATAACAATTATTCTAAGCTCAAATTCTTGAACCCTNGAAATTCTAGGTTCTTGTCCCTAGTAGAGCCGCCAGAGCTGTCACACCTCCTTTTTACACACCCGAGGGGTATATGGGGAGTTTTTCTAATTTAAGTGACATTATTCGAAATGGGATTATTTTATTTATTTTTAGAGTTGCCACTTGGGATAATTTTATGGTGTCCCAAGTCACCGGTTTAAAATCCCGAGTCGAGGAAGTTTGACTTTCCTTTTGAAGTTTGCGAACCAGAAATTCTGAATAAGGAATTCTTTTAACCCGAGGGAAGGTGTTAGGCACCCCCGGATTCCGTGGTTCTAGCACGGTCGTTTAGCAATTTATACTTGGCTTAAATTATTTAACTACTCATTTCTAAGACCTATGTGTGATTATCTTTTTACCGCTTTTAAATTACTTGAATTATTCGTAATCAAAGAATTGAGTTACGTGTATGTATACTCTTTTATTTTGGCGCATTAAAAATCATGTCATGTGAACGTGTCCACAATTAATTAATGTTTTATTAATTATTAAAGAAAATTTTGATCGAAGTTGCACGAACGCATATCTCGATTTTTTTTAGAACGAAATTCATAATTATGTTACGCGAACGTATACATAATCACAATAATATATTAAATCGCCTTTTCATTGTTGTCGTTAGGACCAATTCAATCCTAATACAAAATACTATTCTAAAATAAGGAAAGAATTGCCTAAATTTCTGGGTAATCACAATGAAGTATGTTATATTATATCACGAAAAGGACATGTAACAAACAAACAAAAAAGAAACACGGCTCTAATATGATTCAACAATTGTACCAGATCATAAAATGGTTAGGCACTAAGAAAATAAGGCATTATTCGGTGTTTTAACTAACACAATAAAACGATATAAATTTTAGTACTATAAATTTGCTTTCTTCTTTTTTATTCTAAAAAAAATCAAAACAAAAAGCAGAGACCCACTTTCAAAAGTAGGAGCAATCAATGAATAAAAATAAATAAAAAAAAAATACTTTGTACTGATCGCAAATCATATTACAAATATTACAAGGTGAAATGAAAGCATTATCTGTATAGGACCACAACAGCACCTGACATGGAGTATAATAGTCAAAAGCAAAAGCAAAAGGTGCTATTGTTTTAGCCGCTTTTAATATTTCGGAAAAAATTCAAAATTATTTAAAACACATCGTAAGCCACGCTACATAAATGCACCCGCGGTTCGTAACATATTTTATGTAACGTTGTTGAGATTTGGATTTGGGTCACATAAATGCGCACCCGAGTTTAGGAAGGTAAATTATTAAAATAAAGCGCCTAAAGCCACTACGTACTTCCAACTTTGCGAGGGCTATGAAAATTTCGCTAAATGACGCGCCTCAATTTCTAAGGATAAAAATATTAATTAAGCGAGGGCCACGGATTATGATTGAAAATTATATTCTATGTACTAAATAATAAAAAAAAATCTATGACTGTAGCTTCTTAAACGTTCCATCCACAAGAAGTATATATTCTTGTAAAGATAATAATCATTAGTATTATTATTATTATTATCCAATCATCATTCAATATTTATGCTTTCATAAAGCAAAAACCAAAACCAGTAACGAAAACACTTTCCATGCAAATCCAATTTTATAAATTGTTGTAAGTCAGTATCCATTTTGTGCCTACTTTTAGTTCGTTTCCAATGTATACTATCATAACAAAAGACCAACTGAAAAACATTACTTAACAACCATTTAGCAATAGCAAACTTTACACAGAATGTCTCCCATGATTATGCACCCAATGTCATGCCCTCAGAATATGAAGCTAGAATAACTAGTGGTCAAACTGTTCGATGAGTTCTTGCCTTTTAACAATGAAGTCCTCACTGCTCACATAAACAACACACAAACTATATAAAAATAATTATAAAAAAAAAATTCTCCAAATAAGATAAACTAACAGGATATAACGCTAATTAACAGTAATTCAAACTCAACAAATTAAGCCTGCATGAACTTATATTAGAGCCAACATCTTATTGCATCCAACAAAATAAATGACTAATGAAGCATGATATAACCTGTTAAATCAATTCGCTTACAAATATGCCGAACTAGTCAGGAACATGAAAACATGAGAAGGGAAGAAAGTGATTGAAACAGACCTTTTAATAGTTGAAATATAATCTTCAATACATAAGGGGTAATGAACTGCTAAGCTCTCGCACAAACAGACCACGACCGAGACCCAAACAGAGAAGCTCGACGCCGACCCTGAACTCAGCTCTCGGAGCTGCTGCATTTTTGCTATTTATTTTTAGCTGGATATGGTAGAAGATAGGAGGATTTCATGGTGGCATTTGGGAGGGGAAACAACGGCTGAAGAAGGAGTAGCTGCTTTAGGCTTACAGATCCAAACAGAGATGTGAGGAAAAGGTCCCCTTGTGATGAAAATGGCACCCAGATTTTTTAAATGTATTTGTTGTGTGTTTGTGAAGTTTTGTATGAGTGAGTCTAGGTGTAAATGAAATAAAGAAAGTGATATCTAATCAAGATTGAAGAAGAGCCGAAAGAAGATGATGGGAGGGGATCGACACTATTTTTTGTCATTCTTCAGAGTGCGTCGTTGCTCTTTTTTTGGAAGGGAATAGGTCTCAAATTTGATATCCTCCCTTATTTCCATATGTAAGTGGATATATAATGTGTGCAGATGGATTTTGATTATGTTGGAAAAGAAGATTTGTGTGGGCTCATGCGTTGAAAAAGTGTCACACAAAAATTTGTGGGTGTCATTTTTAAATCGTGAGTGTGCACTATAATGTGAAAGAATGGAGTGTGAGTTTGAGGGCATTGAATTGAATGAGGTATGAGTGTGAAGTCATTGAATTGAATAGAGTATGCAAGTGGTGAGATAATGAATGGGGGTGGTCAAATATTAGAGTGAATTTGCAAGAATGTGTATTGTGTATGCTTTTTCCTTATAAAAAAATAACGTGAGGTTCTAGAAGTTTGTTAAAGAAAAAGAACAAAAATAAAATAAAATAAAAACTAACGGGACCTTTGTTTCTTGAACTTGGTAGGAGAAAATTTTGAAATATCAAAATATAACTAGTTAATTAAATTAAAAGAAAATAACACATAAACTTTGCACAGTAACGAAAAGTTTTTGAGTAAAGCAAAAATATTACGTATTAACCACTTATACTACGTACATCTTAATTTAAACCCATGTGACATTTTCTTTTGTCTATGTTTTTCAATTTTATCAAAGTTAAGATAAACTAAAATTAACTAATAATGGAAAGTATTTTTTTTAATTATTATTTTCTAAGAGAATAAAGTAAAAGAGTCAAAATGAGTTGAAATAGATATATTATGTCTAAATTAAATATTAACATGCTAAAATATAAATATATTGGGGAGGGTCAAAAATTACATGTCTACAGGTATTGCAAAATAAAGAGAAGTCCGATACTTCTATGAGGAATATGACCGAGCTTGTAGGTTCTCATACCGCATCCATTCAAAAATTGGAGATGCAAATGAGAGATCTTTCTAGGGAACAAAATCCGAAGCAAAAAGGGACACTTCCAAGTGACACAATTGTGAACCCAAAGGGTAGTGAGAGTGATCCAACTTCTCATATCATGGAAATTACTACTCGGAGTGGGAAGGTACTACAAGGAGAGAATGAGCAAGTGGTTGAAGTAGAAAAGTCTGAACAAGAGGTTGAGGTTGAAGAGCCAAGGGTTGTTAAAGCTGAAAAGGTTCCGGAAGAGTTGAAAGTTCAAGAAGTGAATCAGGAAGAGGTAAAGGAAAAGGTAAAAGAGACACCAACAGCTCTACCACCTATTCCTAGACCCCCTCCCCCATTTCCTCAAAGACTTGCGAGGAAGGTTGATGATAGAAAACTAGAAAAGTTCTATGACATTCTCAAGTAGTTATCGGTAAACATTCCATTTGTGGAAGCATTTCAAGAGATGCCAGGTTTTGCTAAATATTTGAAAGACTTGATCACCAAGAAGAGAACCACCAAAAATTAAGTGGTGAATATGACTCATCGGGTTAGTTTCATCATTGCAACAACCACCGTTCAAAAGAAAGAAGACCCGGGAACTTTCACTATTCCATGCACTATAGGGGCGCGTGATTTTGCAAGAGCCCTTTGTGATAATGGGGCTAGCATCAACTTAATGCCTCTTTCCATTTACAAGCAAGCAGGGTTGGGTATGCCAAGGCCCACAAGTATGAGATTGGAAATGGCCGATCATTCCATAAAGAGACCGGTGGGAATTGTCGATGATGTGCTTGTAAAAGTGGGAAAGTTTCATTTACCTGCCGATTTCATAATACTTGATTGTGCAGTTGACAAATAGATCCCTATCATCTTGGGTAGACCATTTCTTGCCACAGGAAGAGCACTAATGGATTTGGAACGGAATGAGATCAAATTCCGTGTGAATGATGAAGAGGTTACATTCCAAGCAAGCAAGGGTATGAAACTACCACATGAATATGAAAGCATCTCAGTGATTGATATTGTTGATGAAGTGGAAGATGCGGTTGAAATGAAGATGGAAGAACAATGCCTCGGCGAGGCGTTGGTGGTGATTTTGGTAAACTTCGATGGTGAAGACATGGAGGGGTATATGGAATCATTCAATATATTGAAAGGGCTTGGTTCCTACACTTATGCTCTGAAGAAGCTCTCTCTCAACTTGGAGAATAGAGCCACTTCTCCCGCAAAGCCTTAAATTATTAAGCCACCGCAACTAGAACTCAAACCACTTCTACCACACTTGAGGTATAAATTTCTTGGATAAAATGATACTCTACCGGTAATCGATTCTTCTTTGTTGAATGATGTGCAGGTAGAAGAATTGTTGAATGTCTTGTAGGAGTATAGGCAAGCTATTGGGTGGACAATTGCGGACATCCGATGGATTCCCGCCGGAATTTGCGAACACAAGATCCAATTGGAGAATTAGAGTAAACCAAGTGTGAATCATCAACAAAGGTTGAACTCGTCCATGCAAGAGGTGGTAAAGAAAGAAATCATCAAGTGGTTGGATGTCGGGGTAGCCTACCCCATTGCCGATAGTTCTTGGATGAGCCCGGTGCAACGTGTGATGAAAAAGAGAGGCATGACCGTGATTGAAAATGATAAAAATAAGCTCATCCCAAAAAGAACGGTGACCGAATGGAGGGTGTGTATGGATTACCGGAAGCTAAACAGTACTACGTGCAAGGACCATTTCCCTATGCCTTTTATTGATCAAATTCTTGATCGGCTAGCAGGAAGGTCATTCTACTGCTTCTTGGATGGATACTCCGGCTACAACTAAATTAATATTGCATTGGAAGATCAGGAAAAGACAACATTCACTTGTCCATATGGGACGTTTGCATTTAGCCGGATGTCATTTGGGCTATGCAATGATCCGACTACTTTCCAGAGGTGTATGATGTCAATATTCTCCAATATGGTGGAGGATTTCTTCGAGGTATTCATGGACGATTTCTCGGTCATAGGTGATTCTTGTGAGAATTGTCTAGAAAACCTTAGACAAGTGCTTAAGAGATTTGAAGAAACGAACCTTGTGCTAAATTGGGAGAAATGCCACTTCATGGTGGACGAGGGCATTGTTTTAGGCCACAAAAATTCCAAACAAGGCATAAAGGTTGACCGGGAAAAGATCGAGATCATTTCCAAGCTTCCTCCACCTACTTCAGTTAAAAGTGTCCGAAGTTTTTTGGGGCATGCCGGCTTTTATAGGCATTTCATCAAGGACTTTTCTAAAATTGCATATCCCATGTGCAAACTCCTTGGGAAAGATGCAAAATTTGTGTTTTACGAGAAGTGCCTCAAAGCCTTTGAGGAATTGAAACAAAATCTCACCACAACACCTATTATTGTCACACCCAATTGGTCCCTTCCATTCGAACTCATGTGTGATGCCAGTAGTGTAGCTATTGGGGCAATGCTTGGCCAACGTCACAACAAGGTTCTTCACTCGGTCTATTATTCAAGCAAGACACTCAATGGAGTTCAAATGAATTATACGGTGACTGAGCAAGAACTTCTTGCCATTGTCTATGCCTTTGATAAATTTCGGGCTTATTTGTTGGGATACAAGGTGATAGTGTACACAGACCATGCTGCTCTTCGCTATCTTATGGCAAAGAAGGATGCAAAACCTAGGTTGATTCGATGGGTTCTGTTCTTGCAAGAGTTTGACTTCGAAGTCAAAGATCGAAAAGGGACGGAAAATCAAGTGGCGGACCACCTTTCAAGGCTTGAAGAGGCAGGGAGACCAAAGGAAGATCTTGAAATCAACGATGCTTTCCCGGATGAACACATATTGTCATTATCTAACACTTTTGCTCCTTGGTACGCCGATATTGCTAACTACTTGGTTAGCAACCTCATTCCGATTGGTTTGGAAGCTTATCAGAAAAAGAAGTTTTTGAGAGATTGTCGGCAATACTATTGGGAAGAACCATTCTTGTTTCGTATTTGTGCTGATAACATCATCAGAAGGTGTGTTCCAGAAGAGGAGATTATGCCAATTCTAAAGGCTTGCCACGACTCACCGGTCGGGGGTCACCATGGGGGCAATCGAACGGTGGCAAAGGTTCTTGAATGTGGTTATTATTGGCCATCAATTTATCATGATGCCAATCGAATGGTCAAGGCTTGCGACCAATGTCAAAGGCAAGGATCAATCTCCAAGAGGAATGAAATGCCAATGCACTTTGTGATAGATATCGAAATCTTTGATGTGTGGGGAATTGATTTTATGGGCCCCTTGTAAGCTCATGTGGTATGAAATATATCTTGGTGGCTATGGACTATGTGTCCAAATGGATTGAAGCAATTGCCTTACTAAACAATGAGGCAATGAGTGTGACCACATTCTTAAATAAAAACATATTTACGCGGTTTGGCACTCCTAGAGCCATTCTTAGTGATGGCGGGTCTCACTTTTGTAACAAGGCTTTCACAGTGCTACTAGAGAAATATGGTGTCAAGCATAAGGTGGCCACACCTTATCATCCACAAGCAAGTGGCCAAGTTGAAGTTTCCAACCAGGAGATAAAGAATATTCTAGAAAAAGACTGTTAATGCAAATAGGACCGACTGGTCAAGGAATCTAGATGACCCGTTGTGGGCATACCACACGGTGTACAAAACCCCTATTGGCACTTCTCCTTATCGGTTATTCTTCGGCAAGGCTTGTCATCTACCCGTAAAACTGGAGCACAAAGCCATGTGGGCTTTAAAAAGGTTGAACTTGGACTGGGCTGAAGCTGCAAATTTGAGGTTAACACAACTCAATGAAATGGAGTAATTCTGTTTCCATGCATATGAAAGTGCAGCTATGTAAAAAGAAAGGATGAAGTTCATCCATGACAAAAAGATCTTGAAAAGGGAGTTCAAGTCGGGTGACTTGGTTTTGCTCTTCAACTCAAGGCTTAAATTGTTTCTGGGCAAGCTCAAATTGAAGTGGTACGGTCCGTTCAAGGTGGTAGATGTATCCCCTTTTGGAGCTGTAGAACTAGAATCGGAGAATGGGCTCCGTACCTTCAAAGTAAATGGTCAGTGAGTTAAGAAATACTTGGGCACAAATGGAGAAAAATACTTGGTGGAACAGTTGGCTGATAAAGATGGTCCATGCCCGACCAATGAATGAACCCAAAGAAAGGCCAACTTCATCATGCCGCGACGTTAAATCAAGCGCTTTATGGGAGGCAACTCATGTGTAGTAACATCCTTTTTGTCCTTTAAATTTTAACATTTGTTAGATAGATTTAATTGAGCAATTTAAAGTGTGTGTTAGAGTGCAGGTGATTCAAAAGATCATAACACAGGGTAAAATTGCGAGTGAA